AAGTCAATGTGTGTCTCCTAGGTTGCCCTAGCTTCCTTCCTTCGAAGAAGTCTGCCCCAGCCCCAGTGCCATCCGCCCGCCACATGTTGAAAAGTGAGTTCTGTGCCGTTAATTAATTAAATTGTCATACCCTCTGGGCGCCGCAGCGACAATTGAGAAATCTTCTGCTCGGTTGCCATTTGAACTCCACCTTTTCGGTGGAAAAATATGTATGTACGACAGAGGCGCTTGTCCCGAAAAATTAATGAGCTCGGTTTGCCAAGAGAGTTACTTTTAACCGGAATTCACTGGCACAAGCCGCCCCATAAATAATCATTTATTGAATGAACTAAATATACATACTCCCAGCACTATTTCTGTGGCACTTGGGTGAATCATTTACGAGCGATTCATTCATAAAAACCGAGTAAATAATTCAATTTAGATTGAATGCGTCATCTTTTGTTAATTAAAAGAGGCACGAAAGATATCAACTGATGAATACCTGTTACTAAACGATTTTTAAATATTTAATTTTAAAAAATTTTAAGTTAAATTTCTATTGTTCTTGAGGTACTTTAAACTGTTTTCTATATTAAATATGTATATTTTACTTTAGGGCGACACATGTGAAAATAATGCCTAACTACTGATGGAACCTTGTTATCTTTAACCATAAATCTCCCTTAAAAACCAATACTTTCAAGTGAATTAAATACCCTTTCCTTGCCAGATATTTTCCCATAACAACACCCCTCCCTTTCCAAGTACTTTATCAGCCTAAAGGGTATGCGGGCGGCTGGAAAAGCCCCTTGAAAAACTAAATGACAGCCGGGCGGGGCAGGGCGTGAGTGCAACCCTTGAGTGCACCTCTCGCTCACTCGCAAACACTGAGATGAGTGTGACGACGACGACGACGACGACGACGACGTCATGAAGGTCAACAGACAAACAATCCCCCCACACCCATCCCTCAAAGAGGCCCGGTCAATTGAAGAGGTTAAATTTGTGTGTGCAAAAGCCTCTGGTGTACCCTCTGCCGACCCTCTGGGCATTACTCCGTATGCTGTGTCAGGGGCTTAGTCATGTCCCCAGGGTGTTAATGTTAATGCCCCAAATGCCACTGGCATGCGCTGTTGCAGTTATGGCCGGCAATTATAATTTGAACAAATTATAAATTAATGTGTGCTGGTCATACGGTCATCAAAGCATAATTGTAATTGTTGACTTATATACATACATACATACAAGGGGGGTTAAGAGCTCTGAAGAGCTGCCTCCGCTTATTATAATTTAATCAACAAAATGTTCGAGTGTACAGTGTGTGTGTGTGTGTGTGAGAAGTCAACTATGCGGGCATTGCTATAGCTCTTTTTTTTTTTTTGCCAGCCAAGTTAAACATTGTCGAACTGCCGCAATTTATTAATTAGTCGCGGTCAATCAAACAAACAAAGTGACGAAGGGCTTAACACAACCCGCGGGCATTTAGCGGTTTAATGGATTTTGTTATTGATATTGGTCTGAGATACAGGCGGCCCTCTATAAGTAACTATGACCGATTAAAGACCGATTCGGTTGATTTTGATACCATTTCGGTTCTGCCTGAACAAAGGGTTCTGCATGAACCTGGTCGAGTGACCATAATCGGTAGCAGAGGAGTTTGAATTTGGTCTATTGAAGGGCAGGCTTAGAACACAGGGAAAAAAGGATTCTTTACGAGATAGGTATATTCTATAGGGAGACTTTTGTGCCAAGAGCTGGCCTTACTTTAAGCTTAAAAACAATTACTTGAGCCGTTCATTTTCATAGGTAAGAATTCCTCCTGAAGAAACTTAAAACTAAATAAATGTATTAACAATTTCTAGGCATTAATTTCTTAATTATTTTATATTAAATTTAATAATTATTAATATTCAAGAATGAAATAAATTTTTTAAACCATTTTTAGACATTAATCTTTTAATTATTTTATATTATATTAAATTATAATAAGTTCAGGAATTTATTTTAAATTCAAATAAATTTTTAAAAACTTTTATTACTGTACTGCTTTATTTACAATCTTGTTTTGGCCACAGCAACTGTTAATCCTGGCCTGCAAATTAACGCAAATGTTGTTGCAACAGGCTCAAAGGCAGCAGGCCCCAAAATTTCGAATGTTGACCAGATCGATGCCAAAGAAACCGCTATACGAGATTAGTTCACAGTTAATAAACAGAATTTCCTAAAAGCTTGGTTTCTACTTTTGTGGCAAAACGACACTTGCACTTGCTATATGTGGTGAAAAGTCTTAGTTTTTGGCCAACATATACTCAAAATTTTGGCCATAAAATGCATACTCTGTGCAGAAAACTAAGGATAAAGGAGGGTATTTGGTAGAGGAAAGGATTTAAAATTCCATTCTTGCTTTTGTGGAATATTTATATTTAAGAATAGGAAAGTTTAGAACCTATATCCTTGAATTTGGTTAATGAATCATTGCCTACTTTTAAGGGCTGGGAGTAGGATTGGCATTTAGGTAAACATTAAATAGACTTGTCTAAAAAAAAGCTCTAAACAAAGTTAGTAAAACAAAAAGTAGTGTACAAATTTTATGCTAAAAATGTAACTCTATATTAAAATGGTTGTGTGGTTTAATCCTTGAAAAAGTTTAAAATAAAGTGTCTGTCCTCTGTGCATGTTGTTTAGACCAAAAGTGTCTGCAAAATCTTGCGGTTCCTTTGCTCAGTTGTTGGCCACCATGGCTGCTGACAGCTCATTAGGCCAGGTGTGAGGTGGCAAGGTGGGAAATGTGGGGAAAGTGACTAGTCGTCCTACTCCCACTGCCGCCGCCACTATATGCATGCACGAGTGTGTTGTTGGCCTGGCCAAGTGACAGATTTTGACAATGTGCGTTGGTCGGTAGCCCGTTGGCCATTGCATTTGAAGGCTGCCAGCTAGATACCCCCACCGAACCCATCCACCCATCAGACCGCATCCGCATCCGAACATGGAGAGTTGTCAGGCGGCTGACGTGACATGGAAAAACAGCGTTAACCACATGTCCAGCCGAGTCTTAGGTACCTTGTGTGCCGGGCAATCACTTGATTTGATGACCAACAGCTAGCAGCAAAAGCATTTAGGCCACACATAAAATGCAGTTTCATTTTTGTGGAAAATTTTGTGTTTTGCACACACACTTACAGAGAGAACACGCATATGTATGCTGGCAAAGTTGTTGCATTTCAAGCAAATTAAGTTAATTAAAAAGTTGCAAGATTTGTGAAGTAATTACCATAAACAAGGCAACTGTGTGCTGCACTCCTGCTTTTGCTTTTGCTGTTGCTGCTTCTGCCTGCTCCTGCTTTTGCTTTAGCTCCTGCGGTTCCTGTTGTAGCCAAAGCTATAGATGTGGCTACAGTTGCTGTTGAAGGTGGACTGAAAGAAATCTTAAAATCTAGATTAAATAATATTTTAAAATCTCCAAAGAAATACCTAAATGTAAGGGTTTTTGTTTTTGGGATCAACTACTACCTTAAGAATATATTTGTAAATATCTAAGACTAACGGAGACTTGGCTAAAACAACTATAAAGATTGTTCATTATTTATAGTATTCATTGCCTTTTTATTTAAAGGATTTAATATAATTTAAAACTGAAAACTATCTATAGTTTCTCAAGAATTTAATAAATAGAATATAGTATTTTTATTCATACTATCAAAGATTTCTCTTAGTGCCTTTTGGGGGGTGTGGATAAAGTTGCCGGCTTGGAATATAAACACTTCAAGTCGGTGCGCCTGATGCGCTCAGCTCAGGGCTTCAAAAGACGCCCGGCACACGTGAGAAATTCCAACAGTTAAGTGGAGGTGGGCGGCAGGATGTAATGCCACTTGCCGAAGGCAGCTTCAAGGGTGCTCCAGTCCAAATTTAAAAACCTTTCAACGGCGACTGAAACAAAGGAGGTCCCCAATGAAACCAAAGACTGAATTCAGAAATTCAGGATTCAAGAGAGAGAGAGAGAGTGGAACAGAGCACGAAAGATATGTCAGCCGGCAGATGGCAGTTGGCAGCTGGTTTAGGCCATGTGCGATGCGACAAAAATGAGCAACTGCAACTCCACGCACACGCACTCAGCACACCGATGAAAAGGAGTAAGGACGCCGTGCATGTCGCAAACAGGTACAAAATGGAGCCGCAACAGGATGGTATAGAAGTAAGGGTAAGGAACTCCTTCTCCTGGAACTCGACTCGACTCGACACTCGGTTTGTTATTGCCGACAGTTGCGGCCAGCCTTGGTGACACTTGAACATAACTGGGTTCTGTTCTCCGCTCCGCCTTTTGTGCGCTGCCTGAGTGCACTGATTATGCACATGGGAGGCGGCAGGGATATATATGTATATATATACATAGAGTACATGGCGCAAGGATATGGCACAACAATGCCCGCCAAGATTTACAGCCTCTTGTCGGATTGCATTCGGCTGGAGTAATTTGTTTTGGGGCAAGCTTGCCACTTCTTGGCCAAGTCTTGGTAACTCAGGAGGCATTCTTTTATCTCAGCTGTCATATCCTAGAAGGGATTATAAAAATCTGACTTTAATATGCAAGGCTTTGAGATGTGTAAGAATTTTATGACATTTTCTTAATGTAGTAACTATAGATAAAAGCTTTTGCTTTTGACTTTATGATTAATTAAATATTTACCAAATTAATTTTCTTGAAAGTAAAAAGGGTATCAAAGGATTTACCATGACAAACTGTTTCTAGATTTTTTCCTCCGTAATCGATCAATGATTTTAGCCTTAATTATCATGCTGATATACTAAATTTAAAGCCTAATGGGCGTATACTTGATAAAAAACAGCAAGTCATGCTGGCTAGCCAGTTTCGGAGTCTGAGAGTTCTTTTTTTTCATTTGTTTTGATCAAGCAATTCGCTTTATTTACTCCGCTTGGTATATAGACTTGATTCCGATAAGGTGAGTCTATAAATGCACCTGTTCAGCTGGCTAGAAGTCAGTTGTTTGATTGCGGGAAACCCAGTTGAAACAAAAAAATATTTATAATGAATATTTGGCAAAATACGCAGCGGGCAGCCTATTCCATTCGCTTTGTGAGGTCAGCTTCCACACAGACGGCGGCCCAGGCTTTTGTGAGTCTAAATTAATGTAATAAATATTTTAATTATTAAACCCATTAAAACTATTACCAGCAGGTGACTGAAAATGTGACCACAGAGCCGAGACCCTACAGTGAGATTCCGCGACCCGGAAAATTGGAATTCATTCGGGCTTTCATGCCGGGCGGCGAGTTTCACGATGCATCTATAGTGGATTTTGCCATGGCAATGAGAAAACGCTATGGCGATATCTTTATAATGCCAGGAGTATTTGGCAGAAAGGACTGGGTCACTACGTTCAGTCCCAAGGATATAGCCATGGTTTTTCGGAACGAGGGAAATTGGCCAAACAGAGAGACCTTCGGTTCGCTTACCTACTTTCGCACTCACAAAAGACCCGATGTTTATGGGGATATGCTGGGTCTAGTATCTGCGTAAGTTAATATGGATAATACCCTTGAAACCAGTCTGATCTATATGATTTCAGTCAGTCAGAGGCTTGGGGTAAAATGCGTTCAGCCCTCAATCCAATATTTATGCAACCAAAGGGTCTAAAGTCCTACTACGAACCACTTTCCGACATAAACAATGAGTTTATTGAGCGGTAATTATATACAAATATTTCTATATAATATATATATATTAATTTTATTATTTAAATTTCCGAATTAGTATCAAAGAGGTAAGAGACTCCAAGACCCTGGAAGTCCCCGAAAACTTCATGGAGGAGATCAGCCGTTTGATCTTTGATTCTCTGAGTCTGGTGGCCTTCGATCGGCAAATGGGTCTCCTTCGTAAGAACCGAGATAATCCCGATGCCTTGACATTGTTCAAGCAATCGAAAGAGGCCCTGAGGTATGTCTTCGAGTTGGATGTCCAGCCTTCTATGTGGAAGGTTTTTCCCACGCCCACATACAGGAAAATGATGCGACTGCTGGATGAGAGCTTAACGGTGGCTCAGAAATTGCTTAAGGAAACCCAGGACTTACTGGAAAAGCGTCGACTGGCTGGCGAAACAATCAATAGCAATAGCATGCTTGAAAGGATGATGGAGGTGGATCCCAAGATGGCCATGATCATGAGTCTGGACATTCTGTTTGCAGGCGTCGATGCCACATCCAATCTTCTCTCGGCTGTGCTGCTTTGTTTGGCCAAAAATCCCGAGAAGCAGGCCAAGTTAAGGGAAGAACTCCTCAAGATAATGCCCACAAAGGATACAGCTCTGAATGAGGAGACCATGAAGGATATGCCTTATTTGAGGGCTGTGATTAAGGAGGCCCTGCGTTACTATCCCAATGGCCTGGGTAACCTGCGTGCCTGTCCCTCGGATGTGGTCCTTTCGGGTTATAATGTGCCCAAGGACAGTACCGTGGTGCTGGGATCGAATGTCCTCTTCCAGGACAACAACTACTATCCGCAGGCCGAGGAGTTCCTACCGGAACGTTGGCTCCGGGATGCTGAGACTGGAAAGAAGATACCTGTGAATGCCTTTACCTACCTGCCCTTCGGATTCGGTCCTCGAATGTGTATTGGCAAGAGATTGGTGGACCTCGAGGTGGAGACGAGTGTGGCCAAGGTGATCAGGAACTTCCAGGTGGAATTCAACTACGATGCTAGTCGCCCCTACAAGACCTTCTTCATCATGGAAGCCGCCATACCATTCCGCTTTAAGTTTACCGACCTAGATTACTAAAAATAAATCCAAATTGGCTGATGAAATATATGGCGGTTTTTAATGATTTTCCCACAAGATAAGATTAGTTTCAAGTTGAACGACTTTAACTATCTGCCACACGCCACCGCTGCTGTTATCTGTGTTTGGGTTCCTCTCGAAATTGATTTTTAATTGGGAGAGCCCAAAGCCGAAAGCCGAACAACATTTAAGCGGCCCAACGGTGGCTCTGGTAATGTTTCGGTGGTTTCGGTGGGTGTTTTGGGCCGCATTTGTGTTGGTCAGGTGTGCAGCAATTTGGGCAATTGGAAAATGCAAATTTAATTAGCGGCTAATTTCGTAAAACAGCCGTAAAATTGAAAATTAAGCAGCAAATTGCAAATCAGTGGGGATGAGTTTAGCTTTTCTGCTGCTTTTCTAGCTTCTCTGAGTGGGTTTGTGCTTGGAAATGCGCTTTAGAAGGGGGAATTGTAATTGGTAATTTGATTTGTTTTTAAAGTTTAAGAGTCATGAACATGCACTCAGTTTTGCTCGCCACCACTTTTTAGTATTTTTTAATTATTTCTTCATCTTTTAAATATTTTTTTTAAGAGGTACTCTCAAGGTCTTAACAATTTCTATGTTTACCTTTACCTGCTCTCTCTTGATCAGCTGAGTGAATTTTTTCTGCTGACTGTGGTAGTCAAATCATGATGATACGTTCGTATACTTGATAAGAAACTGGAAAGTCATGCTTTGTTTGCTAGGTTTTGTTTTGGTGTGAGAGCATTACTTTCAGCTCTGTTCTCTGTTGTTGCCTCTCTCTAAACTTGTACATTTTACAGATAAGACTCGTCTATAAAATCGTAGGTCGTGTGCCTACAGGTTTTCAGTAGTTTGTTGGCAGCAGAATGAATACCTTAAACAGTGTGCGATGCCGGGCAAGTGCCACAGGCCCCTTCCAATCTCTGAGATCGTCATCGGCCTTGGCCCAGCCTCAGGTCAAAGCCAATGTAAGTCAAGCTTAACCTGTATTAATTCTCAGAAAATATTTAAATGGTTTTAATTTTAGGTGTCTGAGGAATCGAAAGCCTTTAGCGAGATTCCACGACCAAGTAAACTGAAATTCATGAGGGCCTTTATGCCCGGTGGTGAATTCTATAATGCCTCCATTACGGAATATACTTCAACGATGCGAAAGCGATATGGCGATATATTTATAATGCCAGGAATGTTTGGGCGCAAGGATTGGGTCACCACATTTAATACCAAGGATATAGAGATGGTTTTCCGCAACGAGGGAATCTGGCCACATCGCGATGGCCTGGATTCGATAGTATATTTCCGCCAACATGTGCGACCCGATGTTTATGGAGAGATGCAGGGTTTGGTGGCTTCGTAAGTTTTATAACAAATACAAAAATAATCCTTAAATATAAAATAATAATTCGGCAGACAAGATGAAACTTGGGGCAAGCTCCGTTCAGCCGTAAATCCTATATTTATGCAACCCAGAGGCTTGAGAATGTATTACGAACCCTTGTCCAACATTAATAATGAGTTTATAGAAAGGTAAGTTGAAACAATTCTAAACATTACAGATCTAAAATTAAATTAAATATCTTTCCTTTTAGAATTAAAGAAATTCGCGATCCCCAGACCTCGGAAGTGCCCGACAACTTTATGGACGAAGTTAGCCGAATGATTTTTGAGTCTCTGGCTCTGGTGGCCTTTGATAGGCAAATGGGTTTGATCAGAAAGAACAGGGATAATCCCGATGCCATGACCCTTTTCCAGACCACCAGGGATATCTTTCGATTGACCTTCAGCTTGGATTTCCAGCCCTCGATGTGGAAAATCATCTCCACTCCTACTTACAGAAAAATGAAGAAAACCCTGAACGACAGCTTGGATGTGGCCCAGAAAATGCTGAAGGAAAATCAAGATGAGCTGGAAAAGCGCCGCATAGCGGGGGAAAATATTAATAGCAATAGTATGCTGGAGCGATTGATGGAGATCAATCCCAAAATGGCAGTGATCATGAGCTTGGACATCCTTTTCGCTGGTGTGGATGCCACTTCCACGCTTCTGGCTGCAGTTCTCTTGTGCCTCTCCAAGCATCCGGAGAAGCAGCTGAAGTTGCGAGAGGAGCTGCTAAGGATTATGCCCACGAAAAATACTCTGCTCAATGAGGAGACCATGAAGGATATGCCCTACTTGAGGGCAGTGATCAAGGAGACACTGCGATATTATCCCAATGGCTTGGGCACCATGAGGACTTCTCCAAATGATGTGGTGCTATCTGGATATAATGTGCCCAAGGGGTCTACTGTTCTAATGGGTGCCAATGTTCTCATGAAGGACCCCGTCTTCTATCCCCGTCCTAATGAATTTCTGCCCGAACGCTGGCTAAGGGATCCTGAGACGGGCAAGAAGATGCAGGTCAGTCCCTTCACCTATTTACCCTTTGGCTTTGGACCTCGAATGTGCATCGGCAAGAGGGTGGTGGATCTGGAGATCGAGACCAGCGTGGCCAAGCTGATTCGCAATTTCCAGGTGGAGTTCAACAGGGATGCCAGCAGGCCCTTCAAGACCATGTTTGTTATGGAGCCCGCTATACCATTTCCCTTCAAGTTCACCGATATTGAACAGAAAGTGACTGAGTATTAAGTTTTGTGGCGCAATAAGTTCCTTATAGATATAGCTTGGCATGTCAACAATAATTTGTTTTTGTTAATAAAAATATAGGTATATATAAAGTGTTTGTAGATAAGACAATTGGCATTTGCCGGCTTTGTTTGCATTTTGTTGAGCAATTTCTTGATAAGATTTCTTTGTGTTGGGGTATCCCTCTCGTCAAGTGGCGTCTCTAGGGTCTTTTTGCCTCTCTTAAAATGCATTTTATTATAAGAGAGTTAAACAAAGGCTCTCTGAATATTGCTTATAAGTAGTAATGATAGATGAAGTTTTAAGACAACTCATACTTTGAAATATTTATAATATATTTATTAATGAACTTTTACCTATAAGTGATCTGAAAACTTAAGAAATATATTCAAAAAATAATGTTTATAATTAATTTTACAATTTCCTTGCAATTTTTGTATATTTTCCCTTTGAAATTTTCTTCACTGTGCTTGATTGCTGTTATTTAGGAATTATGTAGCCCACTTTTAGCCAGCTTAGCTCTTGTATTTGGCGTTGGTAACCTGGCAGGCAGGTGAAAGGCTGTCCTTTGCTTTGGCGGAAATATTTCTAACGGCAGTGGCAGCACCAGCACCCACAGCAGCGGCAGCATCAGGAGGAGCCGGAACAGGATCTGCAGGAGCGTCAGACATATTCGCCTGCGGCCGGCGGAGTTATGCTAACTGGCACTCAAAGCAAAGCGCGGCCAAAAGCTCGGGCGGTTTGCCCTTTGCCCTGGCCTGGCCGGGCTGTTGTTCTTGCCACTCTGCAGTGGCAGCTGGTAACAATAATTTAAGCGATTTTTCGCTTTTTGCGAGTGGGTTAATGGCATGCCCGGGAAGCTGGAAGCTGGTAACTGGTAACTGAGAGCCAGGAACCAGGATATCTGGGTATCCTTTGCCGTGGCGAAAATTCCACTCTTGTAGCAAACGCACATAGCTTATGAATTCCGCAATCCAGGATGCGGTGCAGCAAAGTGGTGGAACTGGGAGTGATGGGAGTTGGGGGGGCACCTCGTCCAGTACAAAGTAAAAATGCAGAACATGTGATTGGGGGAGCGGGAAACATGGCTTTTAGAATGGCCAAGGACTGGCCAGCCGCCATATGGCTCTTTGTGTCTGTGTTCTGTATATTAAAATTCAATTTTAAAATACGCCAAGCGACGGACAACGGGGCGTATGCGTAATGCGGCATGCAATCATTTGCGTGCGCCTTCGCTTGGAAATTCCTTTGCCATAACTAATCTCGAGAGCTAAGCAAGGACCAGTCCTGACGTTTCATATTTCTAGCTGGCCGCACTGCCAACCCTTTACTATCGCCTTGCCTTTATTTTATTTAATCTTTTTTCGAGGTTTTTTTTTCTTTTTCTTTTCTTTTTTTTTCTGAAAAATTTCATACTCATCAAGTTGACAAAGAAAAAGTTTTTCATTATTACATTTCGCTGTCATTTGGGCGCAGAAATAGCTTGGAAAAGTTCTTAGCTACCCCGGCTACCCCTGGCTTCTTCCCCTGCTGTCCCGGCTGTCCCGCTTTTCCCTTAACTGCTGGTGTAACTCGAGTGCAGCGCGTAAATGAGCCACTCCCAGCTGAGACGCCCGCCCGCAGCAGTCAGCGCTCATCATCAGATTTCCAAGAGGAAAATGGGTTAAGATTGGATGGGGGAAAAGGGGACTGGGAAAAGCCTGCCCAGTGCGTAGCTTGACGTAATTTTCTTGGCCCGCCTGAAGAGTCGCATCCTTGCACATTAATCCATTGGTGCCTGGATCTGGGATCTCGGATCTCTGGCTCTGTCCTGGCTCTGTCTCTGGTTCTGGCTCAGCTTCGGTCCTGAGTCCTTGGTCCTGGCTGCACGCAAATGAGGGTATGGTCAAATCACTCACTGTCAGGCTGTGTCCCAAGGAATGCGTTCAGCATGTCCTTTAATTTTTTTCTCCCCCCCTCAAGACTAGCTCTATTCCGCTTTTTGTGCAGTGGAAAAAATTAATAAAAATAGGTTGGGCTTCAAAAAAAATTTAAAAATTTTGTTAGGAAAATAAATATAAGAAACTGAAAAAAGAAAAGAATTCTGAATAAAGACCTTTCCTAGAATTTTCTAGTATTTCTTTGGATAAATTCAGAAAAATGTCTTAAATAAATTAAATTAGTGTAAATAAAAAATTGAAAAAATATAAATATATAAGAAGTTATGCTTTTATTTATTTCTTTAAATATTTTTGTATAAAAATAAACATAATTTTTAATAATATAATGTTTCAATAAATTTTTAATAATAAATCTCCAATTTCAAACCAATCTCCTTGCATTTTTTCCCTTGTGCAGTCTTGGGCATTTTCTATAACTTGACGTTTGCCACTGGCCCACCCCGACCATTTCCCATTTGCCATTTTCCGCTTTCCCAGCCTCCCCCAACTCCCTCGCAACCCCTTCTCCTTGACTCCTTTGTCCGGCTTGTACTTGTGTTGCTTCGCTTGCCGCTTTGCTGCCTGTCAGCGCAGCTTAAGATAAAAACTTTCCTTTCCACCCGAAAAGGGGCAGGAACAGGCACCAGCAACAGCACCGCCACCGGCCAGATGAGAGGGCACAAAAAAAAAAAAAAAAAAATGGAAGGAAGGAAGAAAAACCCGTAGGATGGGCTGCTACGAAAGGGTTGACTCTGACATTTAGCTTTCGCATATTTGCACACACCCCGCGTGCTGTCCTCGTCCTCATCCTCCCTTGGCCAACAATATATTTTATAGACTAAGGCGAAGACATGACAAATGCTCAAATAGAAATTCTTCAACAAGATTCTTGGCCGAAACTTAAGTTCATTTTTTGGTCGTGAGCATCGTCGCATCGGGGGCTTTTGTTAGAGCGATACCAGAAAGAATTCAAATTAAATTGCGATTGCTCTCGGCTCGACTCGATTTTCGTGTGCCGCTTTCAGAGTCTGCCACCATCTGACACGGCCTGTCAATGGTTTTTGCATTTTGTCTGCCAGAAGATGGACCATTTCCATTTGATTGTGATTCCGCAGACTCTTCTTTTTCTATCACTCAGCATAGAACAAGCCAATTTGTGGAAGAAGAAAATTTTTTGAGGTGTTTTCTATATATGTTTTATATCCAAATAATATAGAATTTGGACCTTCAGCCCTACAAATAATTATTGTAAATTATTTAAAAAGCTTTAACACATCTTTTTAAGTTTGTTTAAGATAAATAATTTACTAAAATAGTCTCTTACTTCTCTCTGTTTCAATGGTAAGTGCAATAAATATCACTTTGCCTAGCATAACTCGAAACATATGACCCTGCAGCTGCTGCTGCTGCAATGCCCCCTAAATTTCCCTCTTCCCAACTCTACCCCCCTTTTGGGCTAAAGGAAAATTTCATTCATCAGTGCAGCGCACACGCATTGCCAAATTTGCACCAACACCAGCACCCACACACCCAAACCTCACACACACACACACACACACACTCGGAGACGCAGTTGCTGCCTCCACACAACTCACTCACCCATTCATATATTTTATGTTTTGTTTACATTGCCGGCTTGCGCAGTCACAACAGCAGCAACAACAACAACCAGCAACAACCAGAGCTATTGCTGCGGGAAAAGCGCTGAGAAAGCCTTGTGACGTCACTTGGAGAAATGCACACTTTATAGCACCAAAGAGTATAAGAGAAAAGTGTTATACAGAGAGAGAGAAAGAAAGAGAGATTTTTAAGCGGAAACGAAGGAAAATACGAGTGCGCAATTAAGGAAGGAACTCGCAATTTGGCTGCTCATTTCGAGCATTTTGCGGTGAGTTGAAGCTTCCGCAAAATGGCCAAGAGAGAGAGAGAGGGAGTGTGCGTAACAGAGCGAGAGAGACGGAGAGACGTCATCAACAAGCTTACTGGCTGCTTGGTATCGTCATTATGCCTTGATCATCATTTGCCATCGGCGAGAAGCGAGAACAGTTTTCGCAGAAACGAGTCAACGCTCGAGTTCGTCGGTCATTGCGCTGTGTGTTGCACTTTGTCGGCCAACAGGCACACACACACACACACGACACGCGGCAACGAAAGAGAAACAGAAACTATTGCATACCGCCAGGCGCACATGGCGCTTGTTCGCTAGTTCGCTGGTGTGCGTGCGCCTCTTGTACTTTGTGTTTGTGATATGTAAAAAGGGTTTCAAGGAAAAGGATTTTCCTTAACAAAAAAAATAAGGAAACATACAAAATAAGGAAAAATAAATACATAAATATATGAAAATAAATACAAGTAAGTTGTTTTTAAATATTTTTTATATTCCCAGAGTTGATTTAATTGTATTCTTAGACAGGAAAAAATACATAAAATTATTTTATAATAAATATTAAATATTTTAAAGTATTTTTACATATTTTAAGAAGCATTGAAAGCTCTTTTAGCGCTTTAGTCTTATACGTAAATTATTATATTTAACTTAGAAAGAAATTTTTTATTATCTGAATCTTTTTTTTAAGTCTAAACGGGGGTTAAAAAATCCCTTAAAAATATCTTAAATCCAAAACTCTACTTCTGTGATGCTTAGCCAACTTTTTATCCTATTTTTGCCGGCTTGCCAATGGCCTAAACTCTCTTAGTTGCTCTCTTACAATCCTTAAAACCTTTAATGAATAAATAACCCTAGCTAAATCCTAAGTTTAACTCTAAAAACTAATATTTACTCTATAAAATATCAAAAATATTTAAATTAAGACTAAAACATATACATTTACAGCTTAATTACCTTAAATTCCCACCTTTTCTAGTTTAAACCAACTTGTTTGTCTATTTTTGCCGGCTAACACCGTCTCTCTTAGCCGCTCTCAGTGGCTCTCTTTTGGGCCAACTCGCCTGCGTCAGAGCCAAAAGTGGGAAGAAATAAAAAGTAGGAGGCTGAAAAACAAAACCAAAAAGAGCGCCAAGAGCGTAGTAAAGCGTCGTAGTTCAAGTGCCGGTTGTACTATACGCGCGGGGTCAACGTAGAGCGAGGGGAAGAGGCTCTTTTGCCAGGTGGAAAAATAAAGTAAAGAAAAATAAAATAAGGGGTGGCAGCAGCAGCAAGCAGGCTGAGTACCTTTGGCCGTAAAAATATTC